AGAATGAACAGGGGAAAGAATGACAAGGAAAGAGGAGAGTAAAAGAGATGAAAGAAGAATGGGCTTAGTGAAGGGATAACATGTGAGGAGAGAAAAGATGAAGGTAGGTAGAGAGACTTCAGCTTGTGATCAGAAATGGAAACAAGGTAAGAAAAGGAAGGGATGAAAAAGATGCATTCAGCAGGAGAGGGCTGCACCAGTGATTTTCAGGATGATCAGGCCATGAGAGGAATCAGTAGGGCTGCAGCAGGCTTCTGAATGGATCTGTGCAGTGAGCCCATTGGGAGAAGCCTTGCCAGCAGGTCGAGGCAGGAATCCTGCCCATCCTCTCAGCCCTGGAGAGGCTGCTCTGAGTGCAGTGTGCACTCCTGGGCTCCTCATTACACAGAGACATGGGGCTCCTGGGCCTGTGCAGCAGAGGGAATGAGGGTGATTGGAGACTGGGCATCTCTCTTGTGTGGGAAGGCTGAGGGAGCTGGGCCTGTTTGGCCTTTAGCAGAATGTCTGAGGGGGCTCATCAGTGTCTGTAAACACCTGCAGGGAGGTGTCGAGGGTGGATCCAGGCTCTTCTCCGTGGTGCCAGGCACTGGGACACGGGGCAGTGGGCAGGAACTGATGCACAGGGAGCTCCAGCTGAACATGAGGAAGAATTGTGTGGGTGACCAAGGAGAGATTTCCCCCACTAAGGCTGTGGTGTCTCCCTCTCTGGACATATCCAGGACTGTCTGGGGACAATCCTGTGCTCTGGGTGACCCTGCTTGAGCAGGGAGGTGGGGCCAGATGATCGCTGTGGTCCTTCCAGCCTTACCCATTCTGTGATTCTGTGGCACAGCTGCATTGCTGCCAGCCCAAGCTGCTGGCCTTGCCAGCACTTCATTCCCTGTGCATTTTCACCATCCTCCTGCTCCTCTCCTCCTGCTGTGCTATTTGTGTGGAAAGAGGGCCTCACTTTTCCTTATTTTTCTGTCTGTTGTTGCATATCATCACTCTTCTCTAGTGATCAAAGATGTCTCTAGGGTGTTCTTTCTTTACAATTATCAGTTTCATAATCTGAGAATTACGTGGGTATTTTATGATAGATAGTATGTAGTCATGATGATTTTAGGTGAATCTTACTAAGACGAAAGCAAAATCATTTGAGAGGAAAAAAAGGAGAAAAGCAGGAGGAAATGAAATTACATAAATAGCATGAATAGTTTTTTAGAAATAGTGAGGGAAAGTGTGGTGGTAGGAATGAGGAAATGGAGGCTCAAATCTAATTTTTTTTTTTTTTAATGGCACTTAGAGAGTGATAATGTCTTGTAGCCAGCACAGCACAGGTCAAGCAATTTCAGCAAGTGTTCTGTCCCCTGTGATAAATTCTGTGATGCAGAGAGTCACTTCTGTTTAAGGCTATGCAAGAGCTTTGGAGTTAAGCTGCAGATAGTAGAAAACATCCCCACAGCTAGATTAAGTTATGTACCATACAAATAGTTTGTTGCTCAGTTATAACTTGCTTATCTGCAGCTTTATCTTGTTATGCTTTTTGTTATTGCCAGACTCTCTCTGGATCATAATTTGTAATGGTCTGCTCAGCTTCCCTCCACGTTCAGTTGAACAGATAAAGTGTCTTTGTAGCAGTTCTGATTATAAAGTCACTGTACTGTCACTTGTTTCATTTTCTCCATTTATTGACGAAGCAGTGGCAGAACATTTGTCCAAGAATAGATTTGCAGAGTGCAATGTTTTGCTGTGGTTTTAGGAAATCATTTTGCTGGTTTTAGCAGGGAAGGAATTCAAATGGCAGGGGTTTGTCTCGTCAGCCCCAGTGGAAGCCTGCCCAGCTAATGAGCCTCTGGAAGCTCATGGCTCAGATGTGCATAAATGATCCACCCGTGGTGCCTGAGCTGAGCATTTGCTCAGCCAGAGCCAGAGCCAGGGGACAGCCCTCCCCACACTGCCAGAGCTGGGTGACAGCCCTCCCCACACTGCCAGAGCTGGGTGACAGCCCTCCCCACAGTGCCAGAGCCAGGGGACAGCCCTCCCCACAGTGCCAGAGCCGGGTGACAGCCCTCCCCACAGTGCCAGGGCCAGGTGACAGCCCTCCCCACAGTGCCAGGGCCTGGTGACAGCCCTCCCCACAGTGCCAGAGCCGGGTGACAGCCCTCCCCACAGTGCCAGGGCCTGGTGACAGCCCTCCCCACAGTGCCAGACCCGGGTGACAGCCCTTCCCACAGTGCCAGGGCCTGGTGACAGCCCTCCCCACAGTGCCAGAGCTGGGTGACAGCCCTCCCCACAGTGCCAGACCCGGGTGACAGCCCTCCCCACAGTGCCAGGGCCTAGTGACAGCCCTCCCCACAGTGCCAGAGCTGGGTGACAGCCCTCCCCACAGTGCCAGAGCCAGGTGACAGCCCTCCCCACAGTGCCAGGGCCTGGTGACAGCCCTCCCCACAGTGCCAGAGCCAGGTGACAGCCCTCCCCACAGTGCCAGGGCCTGGTGACAGCCCTCCCCACAGTGCCAGAGCCAGGTGACAGCCCTCCCCACAGTGCCAGGGCCTGGTGACAGCCCTCCCCACAGTGCCAGAGCCAGGTGACAGCCCTCCCCACAGTGCCAGGGCCCCCAGGAGCAGGGGCTCTGCACACCCGGAGGCAGGAAAGGAGGCAGGAAAGGGGCCACTGGCCTGGCTGAGGGCTGGCACTGAGGGGATCAGGCTCTGGGGAGAGAGGGGCTTTCAAGGGTGGGGGCACAGGCTGAACAGACAAGTAGAGGCAAAAGACAGACAGACAGACAGATGTTGTCCAGATGAGGGCATGTGCTGGCACCAGATTGGTGGCAGATTTTTACAGTGATGGCAGTAAAAACTAGAGCACAGTTCCTTTCAGGTTGTGTAGCAGAATGAAACTCCTGCTTGGGTTTCTCCAGGTGCAAGAATGTCACTGCAGTGTGACCCTAACCTCATGTGGGTCTGTTCTGCCCGCACAGCAGCATCCTACTGGTTTTTGTGCTGGCTCAGGAGCTTGCTCTATCTAAAGGTTTCTATCCCTGCTGAGGGAAAGCTGACAGTACCTGGTGGAATTTGTGCTTTTACCATCTGTCCTTTTCAGAAGAGAAAAAGAAATTACATTAATCTTTTCTAAAAACCACAAAGTCCAGAATTTAGAAGCTGTGATCTTCCAGGATTAATAAACTCAATATAAATTTGACATATTGTGTGCAGTGCAGGAAGAGCTTCTGTTTTCCTCTGGAGGATACCTGTCTTGTCTTCTGCAGCGGGTGCTTTGGAGAGGAATGAAAGCAGCGTGCTGCAGTATGACCCATGTTTCATTTGCTGTATAAATTGAAAGGTTTAGAGTTGATGAGGCTGGGGATTGCAGGAGGGAAAAAGGCATGGTCTCTAGATTCCCAAGCTGAATTTCATCCCTGCCACAAGCTCCCTCTATAAGCAATAATAATTTTCAGCATTGTGTCCCCGTCGTGTTCTGAGATGCTTTTTGGAACCGTAGGGATGTAATCTGGTAGTCAGCTGCTTAAACCTTGTGTGAGGTCTGTCATGCTGAACAAACCTGGAAGTATCAAATTCAGGATGTACCTACAGACTTCATTTTGCTGCTCAGTAATTTTTCAGAATTTGAATTTGCACTGCTAACTGTCCTTGAATGCAGCGGGGTGATGTGTATGTGCTGCGGATTATGGATCTGGGTACTCAAGGACACCTACTACCTGAGCATTTCTCAGGTAACTAAATCAGAAATGGCAACAGAAATCTGTTAAATCAGCAGCTGGATTGCTCCTAAGTGTTGTGCATGTAACTTCTGATTATGCTGCATGGGCAGAAGTCTAAGTAAAAGGAACAACATTTGTGCTCAGCAAGGCCCACAGTTAGTTTTACCTCTTATAGGAATTAATTTCACATCCTGTTATGTAGCACTTGTTAAAACTTGTTAAAACCTTCCTCTTGCACACAGAACCTTCCCTGTCAACTGATTGCTCTTCAGGGAAGTGGAAAGGCATTAATTGATGTAGAAATATGTGCAGAGAAAATGGAGATTGATGCCTGGACTGATGTGTTGGACAGCTTTGGTGATGGCAACACTTCCAGCTGCACTCCATGTGAGCTGCAGAGTGAGTTGAGGAAGCTCAGACGTGCTTCTGCTGTGTTTGTGAAGAGCTTTCCCCAACACCTTCTTTTTAAAACCTTCAGGAGAGATCTATTATTTTCATTAGGTATAAAGGTGACAGTAATCAGGCTTAGACTTCCGGTTAATGCAGTGACACTAGATCTCATTTTGACTAGACAGGCATGGAAAAATGAGAATTGTTTTTACCAGCTTTGCCAGTTGAGCATCTGGTGATGCCTGGGGGGTGAGTAGCACAGTGCATTGAAAATTAATTGACTATCAACTTCACATTGCTCATTCAGAGCCCTACAAACGTTTATTATTCACAATGTGTGGCATCCTTCCAGGTGTTGGACACACCACTCTGAGATGACAGTGCAGACGGCACCACAAGTTACAAGTCAGAAGGGGTTAAGACTGTTCCCCATCCCATCTCAGACTTGATCTTTGCTCTGCCCAAAGTGTCTGCTGTCCCCTGTATGTTAAATGAATGCATTAAACAGACTCACTTTTCAGTGAATTAGCATTTGATCAACTTAATTTTTACATCCTTGTGAGAAATAACTAAATAGCTTTATTTGCCAGCTGTTGTGGTGGTTTCTTCATTTACGGATGGAGATGTTGTGTTATAAAGACTGACACTCATTACAGATTTTGGGTTTCTGCTTTCTTAGTGTGGCCCTCTCTGCAGGGCAGCAGTTTTCTGCTAACTAATATGTATTCTAGAAGGAGGCTTCTGCATTAAATGTATCACACTTTTATAGTCTGTCTCCTTTGGGGCCAGCAACAATGGAAGCTGATGTGCACCAGGGGTATGTGTGTGTGTGTTATTGGTTAGCTTTGTTCCTGCCTTGGCAAGGAACAAGGATCTGATTTCTCCATGTATTGTCCTTTCTCTGCAGGTATTGAGAACCTGCCCTTTGAATTACAGAGAAACTTCCAGCTCATGCGGGATCTGGATCAGAGGACAGAAGGTGAGGATCGGGGACGGTTTTGTTGCCAAGACAAGGAGTAGGTAGCTTGAGCAGCTTTGCTTTGCTTTGCCTTTGTCATGGGGATCTCCAGGCAGGGGAGGAGGCCTGGAGCTGCTGCAGTCACTGAGTCTCTCCTGATGGAGGGCACTCTGGTGTGTGAGGTGTTTGTGTATTTAATGCTCCCTTCTTTCAGACCTCAAGTCAGAGATCGATAAGTTGGCCACGGAGTATATCAGCAATGCACGGACTTTGTCTTCAGAGGAAAAACTGGGGCTTCTCAAGCAGATCCAGGAGGCCTATGGGAAGTGCAAGGAATTTGGGGACGACAAGGTTCAGCTGGCAATGCAGACCTACGAGATGGTATGAAGGGAAGTGCCTCGTGCTTATCCTGTGAACGCCCGAACTAAAGCCGCCCATCTCGCCAGGCCCTGAGCTCTCATTCTTAGGCCATGCCCACTCTTGCTCCTCAGCTCTTTAGTGCCAGCCCCCTGCCCCTTTGTCCCCTGTTTGTCCTCCCTCTGCCTCCCTGGGCCCTGTCCTGTGGTAACCCCTGCCCCTGGTGTCCTTGCAGGTGGACAAGCACATCCGGCGGCTGGACACAGACCTCGCTCGCTTTGAAGCGGACCTGAAGGAGAAGCAGATAGAGTCGAGTGACTATGACAGTTCTTCCAGCAAGGGCAAGAAGAGTGAGTACCACACTGGGCTGCACATTGACTCAGGAGGCAGCCAGGTGACTGTGGAAGTGCTGGGGATGAAGGCAGGCACTGGAGTGGTGCAGATCAAAGGCTGTTGTGCTGGAGGCTGAAGGACAGGTAAAGAGATGGCACTGGGCTCTTCTTGTGTGAGCTCGTTCAAGGCTGCTGGATAAATCGAGATGGGGTGCACGGCCCAAAGCCAGTGTGCATTCCAAAGCAGGAGTGTGTTTTAGTGCTGCAGGGGTTGTCACTGTCAGGTGTCTCTTTTGGTGGGGTGACAGATGCAACACCTTCTTCTCTTCTTACCAGAGGGCCGAGCCCAGAAAGAGAAAAAAGCTGCCCGTGCTCGCTCCAAAGGGAAAAACTCTGATGAGGAAGCACCAAAAACTGCCCAAAAGAAACTGAAGCTCGTCCGCACGTAAGTGTTGAAGGGACTTGAGGGAATGAGAAGCAGCACTGGAAATCAGACCAAGGCAGGCCTAGCCAGGCTTTCCTGGTGTCCCCAGACTGGAACTGTGTGTCCTCTGTCCCTTCTTGGGAGGCAAGAGGAAGGAAACTTGTTTATTCCCCTGTTCTCAGTGGGGTGTGGGTTGGAGGGGAAAGCAGATCCCCTTGGGTGTGGGTACTTAACTAAGAGAGGTGTCTGTCTCTGGCCAGCAAGGGCACTGTCTGGGGACACACAGAGGTGCTCAAAGCCAGGTACTTTGCTGACTTACTTTATTCCTGTCCTGCAGTAGCACAGAGTACGGGATGCCTTCTGTCACCTTTGGGAATGTGCACCCCTCGGATGTACTGGATATGCCTGTGGACCCCAATGAGCCCACCTACTGCCTCTGCCACCAGGTCTCCTATGGGGAGATGATTGGCTGTGACAACCCAGATGTAAGAGCCTGCACATGGTGGAAGTGGAGGGAATGGAGGGGAGATGAGTCCTGCATGGAAAGTCCTGTCCTGCTTGGGTGGGCCCAGGGACAGCAAGCAGTGACAAGGAGAGGGCTTTCCTCAGGAGTTGGGATGGGCAGAGGTATGGCTGGCAAGGACCTCTGAAGTGCCTCTCTCTGCAGGGTTTTCCTTAAAATGTTTTCTTGTCCCTAAACTTATCAAGGGAGAAGGGGAGTTCTCCTTGCTAACAGTGTGTAGGTTGGGTGTGAACATTCAATCCTTGATCACTGCCAAGGATTTTGGAGTTTGTGATTAAATGCTGGGAAACTCTGGTAGCCCAAAAGCAACAATTTCAAAAGGAAACTGCTCTTTAACTGGCTGCTCTTCGTCCCAACAGTGTTCCATTGAATGGTTTCATTTTGCCTGTGTGGGTCTGACAACAAAACCAAGAGGAAAATGGTGAGTGAAGCAACCTGGGGGGCCCATTTGACCTTTGGAAAGGGGAGGTCCTTGGTGGCAGGGGAAAAAGTACTATATATACACACTTAGAAGATACCATTAAAAGGAAAATTTGAATTAAGGCTTTGTCAGGGACCTTGGAAAAGGACCATGCACTTGAGGCTCATGTCATGCCCTAAATGTTGGCTTTGTTCTTCCTTTTCTAACAGGTTCTGCCCTCGCTGTTCCCAGGAGAGGAAGAAGAAGTAAATTCACAGGAGACCTCAGTACTGCTGCAGGAGCTCTCTTCCCCCTGCCAGGGCCTCGTCCAGTTCCCCCAGCCCTTGGGGCCTTGGCTGAAGGGAAGTCTTGCCCTGTTTGTGGTTTGGGCCGTCCCTGGAATGGTGTGTACCCTGACGGTGCTTCCTGTGTGTTCTGTATCCCTGGTTGCTTCTGAGTCCTTAAGGGAGGCCCTCTCTGTGTACTATTCCAAACAGGTCTCTGAACCTCAAAGGGAATGAATGAGGGCACCAGGGTAGCCACCAGATTCCCAGGGATTCAGGTAGCCCCTGATTTTCCTTGGCTTTCCTTCAGCCTCCTCAGAGTTCATTGCCTGTTCTCTGCTTAGAGAACAAGGCTATGGGATGGGGGAAGGAAAGGAGGTAAGTTCAGCATTTTAGGTCATTCATTTTCCTGGATCTTTTTCAGGAGAGAGGGAGTAACCAGGCTACTTCTTAATCTAGTGGGCTGGTTGAGAGACTGAAAACCTGATGTGCTCCCTGTCTTTAACCATTCCACTGCTGGCATTGGGCAGCCTCTTTTGTTGGGGAGAGGAGGAGGCAGAGGGATGTTTAGAGCTAGCTTTGTCTCTCTTATTCCTGGGGTAAACCTGCTGGTCTGGGAAGCACTCTGTGTGAAGGAGGAAGAATTTCTGACCACGTGGGGAGAAACAGCTTGGTCCAGTCTGTCTTCCGGCCTCAAAATTCTGCCTTCCTCTTGTGTAATGGTGCTTCTCCATGGCATTGATGGTGGGAAGTTTGGGATTCAGATCCCACTTGTATAATACAGAATGAAATAAAATTCATTGAAACCAATGCTCTCTTTGTCACCTTGATGTCACCTCCAAAATAAACTGCAGCAATCGCTCTCTCGTTTTTCTTTCTTAGCTCTGCATTTATTGTAAATGGTGCATGGGGTACAGCTTTTTCATGTAGCAGTCCTGTCACTGAAAGGTGACATTCTGCATAAGTCAGGCTTGAAAATGTACCTGATGTACTTGCACAAAGCTACTGAGCTTTCTGGTGGCTGTGAAAAATACCTGCCCCTGCAGGGTGAACATTTATTCCCACTATTGTTTGATCATTTACTTCATCAGTTGCCTTCTCTTAAATGAGGAGGAGTGGAGGTGGCAAAGGCCAGCCCTCACTGTCTGTTGGGCAGCACAGCTGAGAAGCCATCAGGACAAACCACGTGCCTCCAAGAAGGTGGATGGGTTTTCCAGACACACTGGTAGCTTGCTTCCCAGAAGGTCACAGTCACCTTGTCAGAAACTCTGGCTGCTGTTACTAACATAACATAATAGAGTTCCAAACCAATTCCTGAAGATCTGCAGTGTCTGCAGATAACTGTGAGGAGATGGCCCATCCTGGAGCTCCTCTTTATGGATTCCATTGGCACAGCTGGAGACTGACAAACCAAGTCTTCTTCCTCCCTGTGGTCTGCTCACCAGGAAGGTTTAAGCCTTTCACCTGGAATGTTTTCCTCACCCAAATTACTTGTATGAGGATCCATGGAGGATTTTGCTGGTTTAGTTATGAAGCCAAAGCTCTGCTCGGGTTCAGAGGAGAGTGTGAGCTCAGATCAGTGCTGCTCCCACCTTGCCATTGCACGGGGACCCTGGCAGAAGGGTCAGGAACCCTCAGCTCAGAAGCTGGCGTTGTTTTCTGTTCAAGTGAGTTAGCACTGAGTCAGTCTTTGCCTTTGCCTCGAGAAGGGATGTTCATTCTGTTTTTCTGTCCATTCTGCACAGTAAAAAGGATAAGTTCTTCCCCAGGCTGCGGCTCATCTGGTTTGTGGTAGCCCTGCCACAGTCTGAATCTCAGTCCCCAGACCGTATTGCATCACTTCCAGGGGCTTCCTTTCTTAAAGAGAGGAGAAGCAAATCCTGGAAGGTGCTGGCTGTGTCTCTGGTGTGGTTTAGTGACAGGGAGACTCTGCCATGACCCAGTGGGTGAGCAGGCTGTGCCAGGAGAGCTCATCTCTCCAGCTGGGGGTTACTCAGACATCCCCTGGTGCTCCACTGACAGAAGAAATGGTGGATGTGCCCTGAACTGGAGAATGGGCTTTGGGCAGGGGGCAGGGGTGATGAAGGATGGAAACTGCTCCCAGCAGCTTGGTTTGGATGGATGGGACACAGGATTTAATGGCCAGCATTAGCAGGAAGCTCTCTAGGAGCTGTGGGCCAGAGAGGTGTTTGAAGCACCAGCCAGCAGCCAGGAGCATTCCAGGGACTTCTGCTGCCACGGAGGGAATGCTCTGACTTGCACAATGAGACAACTTAGACCAAAATTTGGATAAAACCTGGGCATTTTTCAGTGGCTTGCAAGTATAAATGCAAATGAAAGCACATTAAAAGCTAACCTTGGAAGAGAGGGAATAAGGGCAATAGCTGTGAGATATTTAATCACCAGAGGAGGGAAAGAACCAGCAGAAGCTGGAAAATACAAAGTACAAAACTGAAGCCAGTGGGAACAAAGCCTGTAAGTGACAAGGCTGGAAACATGAGCAGCTTTTTTTAGAATGCCTTTTGTTTTTGATATAATTGAACATGGCACTTGTCCATTACTGACTGGAGATAGCAGAATTGTTTGTAATGAGAGGAGGGGAAGTGTTCTGTAAATATTTATTCTGTGTTGGTGCTGGTGTCATATGGAGATGGTGTACTTCCTAGGCAAACAGTAAAGAAGGGTTTTAAATGGCACCTCTTGGGGCAAAGATTTTTTTGATCATCAGTCCTCAATAAATGATGTTTGTCATCCTGTGAAAGCCACCTGGAGGCATCTGTGGGTTGATCTCTGTCAGACTCTGGACTGCTGAGGAAAACCTATGAGGCTGGAAAAGAGCCAGCCCTTTTTTGGTCCTTAATGATGTCAAGAAGGCTGCCACAGCAGTCCAGATGTGAAATACTGGAACAGCAGGGAAGTAAATTGCTTCTCTCTAAAACAAGCAAGAAATCCAGGTCAACAAAATAAAATCAGATTGACAGGAAGTAGCCAAAAAAATCTGTCAAAAATTACTTGTTTTTTTTTTTAAAGATCCTTGTTAATATTTACCTGGATCACTGTAGTGGTAATGGGATCTGAGAAGTTTACTTTCTCCAAGAATTGAAGTGCTTAAAGAAGGGATATACTCAGTTAAAGTAATCATGAACTCTGTTACAGAACTGGCTAGCTTGCAGATTTCCTGGAACAGCTGTCAGTGCAACATAAACACTTTCTAAAATGGTGCTGGAGAAATTGCCCTTTTAGAGTGATTGGAAATATCCTAGTTGATGAGTGGAGTCAAGTCTGAGTTTCAGGAGGCTGGAGCCACGGAGCGTGACAAGAGAGAAGAATTTTGCAGCCTTGTTAAGCCCATTTATTAATAATAATTGGTCCTGCACACAAAGGACCAATTTATCTTGCCCAGTTTGATTGCCCCATCTGTGGGCATCTTTCCTGAGTAGCTGGGCAAATGTGCTGACGAGGATGTTCAGCAAAGTATTCCCCTTTCCAAGGAGCAGACGTGCTCCTCAGATTCCCATCCCTCAGGCTCTGCCACCACCATGGCCATGGCACAGGTGCCATCCCAGCCACGACTGTCACCTCCCACCAGCAGGGCCACCTTCCTCTCCTGCTTGTGGATAAACTCAGCCCCAGCTCAGCAACACCCAGCCCTTCTTCAAGCACTCTTGAGGTATTACTCACCCAACCACCGCCCAGACTGTGTGGGGGACACTGTCTCACCATCACATATATGCAACTCAAATGTTGCCCAAATCAGCCCAGAGGTCTCAAGCTGGCAGTGGAAGCCATTCCCAAGAGACAGCTTGCTCTTACAGACTGAAAATAAGCCCACCTTCCCCCAGACATGCCTAGTTTGAAAATTTCTGAGCTGTTCTGCTTCTTATAATCAACCACAGCTCTACTTCCTCCCTGCCAGTGTGAAGGCATTGAGAGCCTCAGTGGCAACATCTGCTCTAAAGATCTGGCTGTAGGCAAGGGAGACTGCAGCACTGAAAGAGTTAAAGACTAAAAGCAGGAAATGAAATGTCCTACCTTTCTTTCCAAAGACAACTGAAGGAAGTTTCTCCAACTCTGCTTCCTATTAGTTACAGTATCAGTAGAAATAAAGCTGTTTTTATCTAATAAAATGAATTTCATTTATAAAAATAGTCAAACATCTTGATTAATGTATGCTAATTTATGTTTATTTTCCTGAATACATAAAAGAAACTAGGAGTGTTAGTTTTAGAAAAACACATTTGTGCCCAAGGCTTAAGGGCAGGCAAAGCTGTGACAAACACTGAGCTCCTACATCTTGGTGTGACAGAAACGTTCAGCAAGGTGTCCCCTTCGGTCTGTTTTTGCAGGTGTGCCATTTAGTTTCAGTGGGCTGGGTTGCTGCCACTGAAGAAACAACTCACTCAAAACTGAAACCCCATCTGGGAGTAGCAAAGGGATTATTTTTTACATTACAACAGGCAAGGAAAAGAAGTGTGAGACCTTGGCATTTCCTCGTTCTGAAAGCCTGAATGATGCAGTCGCTGGAAGAACCCATTTACTCACCACAGAAAGACTGAGGAGGGAAGAAGCCTCTCTGGAGCTTTGTACTCCAAGCCCCTGCTCACATTAGGGATGAGATTGTGGTTGGATCAGGTTGTTCTTGCATGAAACAAACCTGCCTTAAAAGGCTACAGCAGTTTGTTCAAGCAGGCTTTTATGTATCTACTCCATTTTAGTTTGTATTAATAATTCAAGAAACCATTTTTAAATGCTGTTTTTGCAATCAATTAAATATTCCATTTTCTAAATGTCAAGTAAAAAATGCTTCATTCACTATTTCCTAACAAAATAAAATGTAAATTAAGTATTTGAATTAATGCACGTTATAACTGTGCGGTGCTTGTACAAATGGGAATAGATTAACATATCTACCAGGTTAAAAAGAGTGCCAATTTTAATGTAAAGTCTATATTTATCAACATATTCTCATAGCTCTCAGCCAATGACAGTAAACCCACCGAAATAAAGCACAAATGCAGAATGAAGATGATTTAACCTGCGAATAAAGTCAGCAATTTAGAGAGTTTTGGTTTGAATCAGACCGCTCCCAAAAGTGCTTTTGTCTGTGCAGATGGGCATCTGAGCCCTGCTCTGCATGGGCTGTACCTGCAGCCCTTCCCACAGGGTGAAGGTGCCCTGCACTGGGATCTTGGAGCAGTGTCTGGAAGAGTTTGTGCTGAAGAGGAAGAGGCTCTGCTTGTCCGCTCTGTGATGGCTCTGGGGCCTCTGGGCAGGGCTGTCCCCTCTGCTGAGAGGCTCCTCAGGACTCTCCTGTGGACAGAGTGAGTGTCCCCTTCTCTCCCTGCTCCTTTAGGTGTGTGTTTCAGGGAATGGAGGGATCACACCTTCCTCCCTTCCTTTGGTGCACTGCACGGAATGCACAACCCGGCATGTCTTGGGGCTCTGTCCTGGACCACCCCAACACCCACACGAGCAGAGCTGCTCGTGGCCTCCTCCCCAAGCAGCCTGCTGGTCAGCTTCTAGCAGCACACATTCACAACCAGCGGCCTTTGGGAGCATTTTTCTATCATCTCTGCTCACGTTTCAAGCTATTTAAGACACATGCTTTCTGGGGATGCTGCTGACAAGCCACTGGAACTCACAGGTGATCTTTGTGGCCTCCATCTCTGTGTGGTTTTGAGCTGGCCAGACATCTCTCCCTGCCCCAAACCCCCAGTTTAACTCACTGTGCTGACACAAGGCCCGTGAGCCACGGTCCTGGAGTTTCCAAGAGGTTTTCAGTCATTGTAGTGCTGCTGGTGCTTGTGGTG